ATTTTCTGGATCTTTATGTATTTTAGGAAGAGTGTAAATATGACGTGGTCTGATATTTTGATCTGCGGAAAGGTCGGCAAATTCAGCTTCAGAAATAAACCTTTTTTGAGAATAAAATTCTGAAAATATCATTTATTTTTTTCGCTGTTTCAATGAAAATGGGTCTCTCGAGTTCGCGATAATGATTTGCTTTATTAAGTTGATTATAGATTTCAGAAACTTTTGTATGACACAGAAACTGCCTTTGTCGCTTTTTCGAATGATAATGTTTTGATAGCTTTTCAATTAATTTAATGTTTTTTCTCTCAAAATTAGTAAGATTATTCTTCTCGTTTACTATTAGCAACCGACAAGAGGCAAGTCATCCTCATTTATTTCAATTATTCTGAGCAGTTTGGTGACAATAGGCAAGACCTTGTGCATTGTTCGGTTTTTTGTCTGCGCATAGTATTTTTGTATGACACAAATAGCACTAATACACTAGTGATGATCTCAACAACTGGCTGTTCTTCAAACGAGAATATACAATTCTTAAGCGTTGTATTAGCATATTTTGATAAGGAAGGATCATTTGCCAAGGCCATCAAGGCAGGGAACTGTTCTGTCAATCGTTGAAGCATGTACATAGTTCAGTTCAAAGGCGTGGCAACATCAATGATCAGCCTGTGTTCAATCAAGTTACTCTGCCCATCAACAATTAGTTTCTGTTTTTCCTGGAGAAGGTCTGTGACACTTGACAATTGGTCACCAACTTTCTCGCTTTGCCTAAAAGCTTTCCAACTTTAGGAACCCCAAGCCATTTTTTCACAACTAAATTTATTCTATGGCCATAGCAGCAAAATCTATCCCACTGAAGGATTTCATCAGCTTTTTTTTCATTAGCAGCGTTATCTGTTGTCGCTGTTGGTTTGGAGTTCAGCTGCTATGTTTTCTGAAGTGTGACTGCCTTTTTTTTGGACTGCACCTAGGACAGCAGTTTTCAGCATCCATTTATTATCAATGAAGTGAACAGTAGTAGTAAAAAAATGACTCGGTGTTAAGGCTGATTCAACCATCATGTTGCAAATTTAGCTCAGTTCAAATAAAAACAAACACAACTTCAGACTCAACCATACAGGTTTACTCGTAAATTTCAAAGTTCAAAATTCCACAATGGCTGACATCAAGATACAAGTTCTACGATCGAGAGCGACAGTGATGGGACGCTTTGACTGTCAGTTCGTCCAAATCTCATGCATATTTCATGTCATTTCGCAACACATCATGAGTGATTGCTACAGAAGATGATGAGTTTACAACTTCTTTCAAGTTGTTGTCCATATCTATTTTCCTTTGATTTAATCCTCGGATAACTTTAGATCTGGATGGAATTTATACATTTTTACAGGCTAAAATCGCAGAGCTGTGTAATTCTTTAATTATAATTGAATACACAGAGTACAGTGCATTATGCATAGGCTTTACATTCATTTAGAACGAATTGTTGATATTGATTTATATACACAATTCCGTAACTTTGTAATGCGAAATTAGATTTTTTCCTAGCTAGGCTAAATGGAATTCGAGTATGACTGAACGAAAGCTTGAATTTCGGTATGACTGAACGAGAAACGAAAGATAGGACTGCTTCTATTTTTGATCAATAAATTAAATACTAAATAAGGACGCAGCCGCCCCCCTTGAGTGCTGGTTTTACAACTCGATGTAAGTCATTAATTTTGAACAAAATCTGCGAGATGGTTGACCATTGTTAGCTTGCGATGAAATAATTGATGCATGATGCAAACATTGTAGCACTTGGTAGAATATCCTCACTTTAGGGTTGTTGTCCTGTCTTTGCTGGTTATGTTGTCTATATTCTTGGGTTGGGTGAGTGTTACGAGATTGGTGATGATTCGAATAGTAGTTATTATATTGATACAAGTTTCCATGCGGGCGAGAGTGATCATGTGGGCGAGAGTGACCATGCAGGCGAGAGTGACCATAAGGCCGATAGTCTCCATAAGGGCGAGAGTGTGCATAGTTTTCATGAAAGCCAGAGGTTCCATATAGTCCATTGCAGCTCGAAACAGTTTATGAATATCAATATGATTAAAACAAATATAAATTCAATGGAAATTTAGTATACGGATATCTTATGACTAAGATAACAAAATGTAATATTTACTGATTATATATTCATATAGATGCACCATCTTTTGTAATATATACTATTTGTAAATTTTTTATAGGTTAACTATGTTTAGTAATATTTACTGTTTGTATATTTATATAGGTTCACTATTTGACATTTGCTGTTTGTATATTTTTATAAGTTCACCAAGTTTAGTAATAATTACTGTTTGTATATTTATATAGGTTCTCCAAGTTTAGTAATATTTACTGTTTGTATATTTATATAGGTTCTCCAAGTTTAGTAATATTTACTGTTTGTATATTTATATATATGTTCACTATGTTTAGTAATATTTACTGTTTGTATATTTATATAGGTTTACTATGTTTAGTAATATTTACTGTTTGTATATTTATATAGGTTCACCATGTTTAGTAATATTTACTCTTTGCATATATATGTAGGTTCACTATGTTTCACAGTATGTGAATTTATATAGGTTCACCACGATTAGATACAAGAGAAGTTCACAGACTAAAAGTATCTGGTGATATTGGAGAAATAGTAGAATTAACAGCAGATATGATTTCCTATCCTGGTGCTAATTTTCAATGGTTTTATAAAGATAATGGTAGTGATATAATGATTGGGAATCAAGAATCATATTTGGTCATCAACAATCAAAGATTTATTAACAGTTATAGATCTGTGTTAAGAATGAACATTACTTCAAATGAGATGTACAGACAGTATTATTTAAATATTACCAATGATGATGGACTGAGTAATAGTTTACAGTTCCTACTTATATCTGAGAGTAAGTTTATTACTTGAATGTGTTACATCTTTAATGATTTATCCGTATGTGAAAGGGCTTCACATTATTTTTTGTGCTGATAAATACGCATTTGTTGATTAATATTTAAAATGTAAAGATTCTTGTCGCCCAATATTTACTTTCAATTTACCAATCAGCTGTTCCAGATAGTCCAGAACTTGTATTATTAAATAAAACATCAGATACAATTTGTATTGAATGGAAACCAGGATCTAAAGGTGGAACATCACAAAGTTTTATAGTTCAACATTCTACTGATGATAAAACATGGGTCAATTCTTCCACAATACTAGATGGTACCAATAATGGTCGAGTTGACTATTGTATAGAAGGATTAGAACCAGATACTAGTTATTATATCAGAGTGATAGCTAGTAATAAATATGGTGAAAGTCTAATTGGTACATTATCTCAGAGTGAACTTTTTAAAACAGCACCGAGACAAGGTAAGCTCTATGTGGGAAATAGCGCTTTATAGATCAAAAGTTAGTATAGATACTCAAGCGTAGATGGAGTGGTTTAGAAATTAATTTCTAGCCATTGATACATAGGGTGTGGAGTGCAAAGTTATATCTCTCACAAATATTCACGGTAAGGTTTTATACCAATTGACAGTTGAAAAAAAAAGCTGAATTCGACGAGGTCTATCTTGTTGGCACTCAACGGACTACAATTATAGACGGAAGGATTTTACGTTCAGTAAAAACAAACAAGTTTATTCACAAATATTTAACAATCTATGAAAAACGATAGTCTAAGAGCTACTTTTGAGATATTTCTTGAAAACGTTATAATTGCCATGTTGGCGCATGGGCATGCATTAAAGATCCTGAACACATTCGACTAATACATGTGTGACCTGTTGCTGTGATAATCTGATAAAGAAATTAAAAAGAAGTTAATAGTAACCTTTGATAAGTGGTTACGTGTTTGATTTCAGATCCTTATAACAATATAACCTTAATTGGGGGAGGGGTTGGTGCCGTTTTAGCTTTGATAATTATTGTTATATTTGTTGTCTTGGTTATTCGAAGAAAGAAAATCAAATCAAAAGGTAATGTAAACTATTCTGTCTTTTTACACAAAGAACTGTTCTTTGTTGTATTCTTTTAATACACGTCTGCGCAGTGGCGTTTCTATGAATCATTCGGTAGGGGAGAGTGGTCAAAGGGGACCCCCAGGCAATTTTCCCCTATATTCAACATTAAGAAAGTTGAAATGGGGAAGGGGGGGGGGGGGGGGGGGAGATATGGTTACATGAATCGAAATGGCAACGTGGCTGTCATATTATTTTTGTAGTTTTCTCATATTTTGTCTTTTTTTCTTAACAGGTAAAAACAACGAAAGTGACTCCCAGTTGTAAGTATTCTGACAATTTTATGAAAAGGAAATAAGATACGTTGAGTGAAAAATAAACTTTCGGTACAATATTGTCACTCACTATTAGTTTTATTTCAGTACGGCTTTTTTTTTATTAAATACTTTTATTCAGTTGTCAATTAAAGCTTTGCAAATTTTAAGTGCGAGTCTGAAAACAAGTAATCACATTTTAAATCACATCTAAAATAACCTTAATATATACACACTCAATAAATACAAAGACAATGAATAAATAAATAAAAAAAATTTCCGGTCAACCAACATGGTAAGAATCCTCTATAGGTTGACCACATAAACAACTTGGGTTGTCGGAGATGTGCAAAGTAAAACTTATGGAAATTTAAATCGCTTTGTACGTGGCATAGTTTAGGGTGTTTGAATTGCAAATGTCTTTGGCTGCCATTCTCCAGTTGTCGATGGTAGTAATAATTAAGCTTTAATCTTGCATGGAATTGACCTAAGTTTGTCTGCTTCGCAAACATGATAAGAATTCTCATTTCCAATCGATGTGTGTACTAATAAGTAAACCAAGTACTAACGATCCGAACAGCAAAACAAAACCCGTATAATATATATATATATAAATAAGATGGAACTAATTTGTGGAAGATTTTGTAAAAAAAATAGCTAATGACGAAGACTTCGTGATGTGGAACCTGTTTCGGAGTGTGACGTACCCTCACCAAACCTGATATTGTTCTCAACTGTGGAGTTTCTACAAGGAGGCTGACCCAGCCATCCATACCCCCCCCCCTTACTTTCAAATTGTTTATCAATCTACACAGTGAAAACAACCTGTGAACATACCATCCCCATATCAATATGATATAAATTTAAGCGGTGTAAAGATTAGATAGAGTTCAAGCGATATGCTGAATAATTTCTTAGTTTCCGCGATAATGAAACTATTATGTATAATGTATCATACATCGTTCACTATGATTAGAAATAATGTGTTTAGTGATTTATTGAATTAGGAAAATACCGGTTACACACTGCGTCAGAACCATGCGAAGTCTATAGATCTATTTTTCTTCTCAAAAATCGTGTCCTGTAAATTTTAAAGAAGTTTTCGGTAGATATACCATATTATAATGTAAATCTTCTCATTAAATATTTTAGTGTCTTAACTTTATGAACGATTTCCAGGATTGAATGCATTGCACAGTGCAGAATTCATTTTAATCTGCACGTTATCAGACCCCACCCCTATTGAATATTTTTGCAAGAATTTTGCTTTCAAACAATCATCTAAACAGCGTATTTATCTCAGTAACTTGAAATGTCCATGAGATGATACTTAACAACAAATCACCTAAATAATTGATTAAATCTTTTATGCTCTTACTTTGTCTTTTTGTAAAATAGCTTTTACTTTTCAGAGGTTTAAATGATATCCGGTCAACAAATGGAATGAGTATGTTTTATTACACAATACACTTAAAATAATCAAAATACTATGGAACTAAAATACAAGCAGACATGAGACAGTGTTTGCTTTCTATCTGATTTAACTGGAAGTGACTACAGTCGAAGCATATATATCTGATATTATGACTCTATTAACGTATTAGGCCCTTCGTTTATCTACAGCAATTTTTACAGCAGATTCGGATAGCTGGAAAAAATTAAACAAATAGAGGATCTGGCTTTTCACCTGTGTTTATCGTTATCGAAGAAAAGTGAGCCGAAATCCTATTATTAATAAAACATTCTTTGTTATGATGATATTGTGTATATGTATTTTCAAAGTGAATTGCTTTTCCAGTTATAGACGCGAATCCGGCCTACGTGAGTGTCGATGAATTACAAAATGATAAGGAAGATGTAAATAATGAAGCCGCTGAAAATACTACAGCGGCACCTACTTACGCTTCTGTAAAGAAAACAAATAAATCAAAACCAATAGCTGAAGTCGCAACAGTTTATTCCGCGGTACAAAAGAAAGAGGCTAACAAAAAAGAAGGTACTAGTTGAGTTAAACTCATCATATTAGAATGGGAACACTCCATTAATCGAAAAAAATATGAAAATTGTTAAGGGTTTCGGTATTCCATTCGCTCACTCTTAAATTCAGATTTGTTTCAGTCGTAAGTCGAGGATTAATGTCCGGTAAAAAAATGCTTCTTATCAAGGTCTACATGGCAGCATATTACATTGTAATGTAGTGTTTTAAGATTAATGATGATCTCAAGACTGTTTTATGAATATATACAATGTATAAATGAGTTCTTTTTGTAATTAATTTATTCTACGAAGAATGATTATCAATGATTTAATTGACATTTATTCAAGATAAAAAGAAATCTGGTGTGAAGAAAACAATGAAAGGTAACGATATCAGATCTGAAAGACAAAATGCCAAAACCAAAAAGGCTGGTAAGAACAAATTTCATCAATATTTATACATATTCGCTTGAAATGAACCCAAAAACCGTGTTGACATTATCAAGAGTAGATCAGGTGCATTCTAAATTCAATAATAATTTTAAAATGTAAATGGATGAAGCCAGATAAAGCTTCCTTTTATGCTTATAAATGCAAATCTATGAACTTTTTTAGGTGAAGTCTATGAAAATGTCGGAATAATTGGTAAAGCCAATATCGGGCAGGAAAATGTTTATGAAAATAATTCTCTTGAGGTTAGTTAAATGTGATCTTATAAATATAAAGTTGCTAACTCACAGATTTTACAGACGAAAATTAGATATCCCTTGGACAAAGAGGATGATAGGTTATGATATTTTGAGAAAAACAAGACTGGCAGAGTTTGTGATGCCTCTAAGGTTGTGTTCTCATCACCGTGCATTTACATACTGTGCATGAACATTAACTTAAACATTATTTTAAACTAAGCCAGTAGCCAGCCAAGTACTTCTGGGGGGGGGGGGGACGTCAAATCAAGGGGGGCAATTTAGGCACCCCCTCCCGCAAAACCTTGTTACGTATTACAGTAGTTATCGCTATTTTTATTGCTGCCGAGGACGCCCATTGGAAACCTGGAAGCACGATTTTCTGAAGTCTGGGGACCCCCTCTAGAATATTTTAGAGAATTTAACTTCCTGAAACGTGTTTTCCTGACGAATTTAAGGACGAATTAAGGTTTATTTGTATAGGGACTGTGGGACCACCACAAGAAATTTTGAGAATTAGACGCCTGGAAACGCAAATTCCTGACATTTCCCAGCAAATTTAGGGTTCAAGATTATTTGTATTGGGTCTGAGAGATCTCGCCTAGACAATTTTGAGAATTCGACGCGATTTCCTGACATTTCGTAAATTTAAGGTTCAAGATATTTGTATAGGGTCTGTAGTGTGACGCCCGGAAACGCAATTTACCGACGAAATTAAGTGTGTCGTTTAGAACTTTTTTGAGAATTAGACGCCTGGAAACGCAATTTCCTGACATTTCCCGACGAATTTAAGGGGGGGGGGGGGCTTTTCCCCTCTTGGCTACGGGCCTGTTTTCAACCAAAAAAGTGGTTATAAAACTACTACACTAGTATTTCATAAGCAATTTTCCCGGGAGAAAGTTACCTTGCATTGTATATATTAAATGTTTTGGCTATAGTCCTGTAAGCTTTTATGTTTCGTGTCCGCTTGTATGTGATTAGAAAGAGAAGTTCATGTGGGAATTTGAGCAGGTTGCGATTTTTTAGCTCTTTTCCAACACTGGGTGCTTTGAAATGCTCTCAACTTTCACCGAATTTTTATTTTCCGTTTTAACAAATTATAGCATGTCTAAAAATTCGCTATTTCTTATGTGTTGTAGACTCCAGGAGAGAAAGTCAATAAAGACTGTGATGACTTAATGTATGTAGATCTGAAGTTTGATAAGGAACCGTCCAACAAGGTGATCAAGAAACCGGTTGATGAAGATAAAGTGGAATATGGGAGTATAGATTATGGTAAGAGAGGACCAACTCCACCTCCAGCTTCGGATAGTAGTGATGAAGAGATGGACTATCTTCCACCAAGACATTAATTTTTTTTGAACATGTACATACTGTATTGATAATTATTTACTTCAGATATATTTATAATTGTTCATTTGTATATTGTTTTTGTGTGATAGGCCCTAATATCATACCCTAAAACTAAATGTTTCGTTCTTTATAAACGTCTA